TGTAAAATTAACAGGGGACATGTTGCTTAACCAGTGTGAAAAACAGATAGTGACAGCGATAACAAAGCTGGTGATGGCACGATAAGCCCTCCTGCTGCTGTGGTGCATCCCACATTACTTCTCTTCCAGAACAGCAGATTATTTTTACAAAAAAAATCTTTAAATATTCATTAGGAAAAAAAAGTCTGATTTAAATTAACACACATTTTCCAAATCTATCATGTAGCTATTAGTAATGCCCAAACCATTTTTTCTTTTTATTATTTTGATTATTAGTGTTTCCACTAGCTTGGAACCTCTCAAGTCAATAGTCTGCTGCAGGACATTAGAGTCCAAATAAAATGTTATTTTACCCTCCAATAAAACAATATTCACCCCTTTTGAACTTTTTTACTTTTTTTCAGATGATAGCCATGCATTTTACAAATATTACAATAAGCAATTGATCAATTGATTTTCTCAAAAATTTTCACTTTGATTATTAATATTTTTTGGAGGTCAGCTTTGGCTACTGTGACATCATATTAAAATTTAATATATGGTTTCAGTTATATGTCATGTTTTATTTCTGTTTGGTTGTCATGACTTATTTTGGATTTATAAAGCACCTTCAAGTTCCAGTGTTAAGTGTTCTTTACAACATAAAGGTTTTTTGGTCTTTCAGGGGGTGAACTTGCATATCACTTGAAAATGGTGTGAAAACAACACGTCGCAATAATAGAAAGCACGATTTATGGTCCAGCAGAATTTCTTATATGCCAAGGCCTAATCATACATTTTATTTACTAAACAGTTGAATTTTGAAGGTAATTATTTGTAGTGGATTGTCTTTTGTGGATTTAGAGCAAAGGAGGGAGGAATACAAATGCTCACCAAACTCTAAAACCATGCATAACTTTTATATTCCTTCACAATTATGCACTTTTTAACATCAAATCATCACATAATCCTAATGAAATGCATTAAAATTTGTGAAAGTAAGTAAATTTGGAAAATTTGGGCGGTATGAATACTTTTGCAAGACAATGTAGATTGCTAATATGAGTAGTTTTAAGATGTCATGTCTTAAACCCTCTAACTCTGAAAACAAAAGCAATTATGGGGCTGGTTTGAGCATGGAATAACATCCCTGAACCACAGTCATACAGCAGGTGGGTAATTGGCCTGAGCAGTACAGCGGTCACTGTCCTTGTCTTTCGATGGGGGCAGCGACCGCTTCACAGGGCAGTCTTATCAGCTAGCCACCCTCTGAGGCAGATGCGCCATTTTATAATTAACCAAATGAGACCTGCAAGGGTTAGAGAGAGATACCATGCAACACGCTCTGCTGAGCCTGCAATTAGGCACTTAGAGTAAATGTGTCAGTTTTCTCCTGCATTCATTTCAGTATCTGTACAGTATGTATACTGTTAGCCTGCATACAGTCTTTTGGTGAGAGTTTTGTTGCTGAGAAGGGCAGTGGATTACTGTGTGGCATTAATTAGACTGTAGTGTGGCTTGTTTTGTCTTCCCAGACCATCAGATCCAATTTACTGGGATGACTTCAGCATCGTCCTTGAGCTTTAACAACTAAAAACCACTAAAGATAAAAGGTTGGTGTTAATGTGTAACTTTTTAGAGAATCTTTTAACTGGACATTTAAATTTTTATATGTACACTTTTAACCTGAAGACAACTGGAAACATAAAGAGACACAGAGATGCAAAAGGATTATTTTCATAGAGAGAATATTGTTTGTGCAGGTTACTGTCTTTTGTTCTTTTTCTTATGTTTAATTCAACTAGATGTGCATTGTTGAGAGTGAGAATCCCTGCTGTGTAGTTTAGAAGAAACTATTTATATTCTTCTTTTTCTTCTGAAAATATTTGATTAAATTTTTAAGGTTAAATAATACTCTTCACAAAGCAGATATAACCTTCTTTTAAATCTGTGGCTTTGACAAATCCCTAACACTACCTAAATGAATGCAATTCCTTTTATTTATTTTTTTTGTATGAACTTTGACTCTAATTCAATAATGACTATCATAATCTGAGATGTTTTGTTGGTTCTGTGTGCTATGCAAGGATCAGGCCACCGGATCTTTGGGGAGCATTTTATTTTATGGCCACACACTTATATATTTTTGCTCAGAGCTTTAGCCAGCCAAACCGATCATTGTTGAGTGACCTTTCTGCATTGGTGCCACTGCAATGCAGTTCATGAATGTTTAAAAGAAAGCCGAGCTGTGTTGGGCCTGCCAACCAGGGTTTACTGCTTGACAGAAACATATTAACTTGAAGGCAGAGTGGAGGTTAACAGCAGCGGCAGCTCCAGACATGGGAAGCCAGGCACTACGCCTGACAGGTAAACACCCATTAGAACCATGGAAAACAGTTTAGTGTTGTGTAAAAGCAATCAAACAAAACCCAATGCAAAACTCTTTGTCATAATTGTATTTTATAACTTTATTTCAACATTTAGTTCAATATGATGAACTACTACTTGAGTATATATTCATATTTTGTCATGTTACAACCATAAACTAAGTGATAGATCAACAAAACAGTGTTCAATTGTGAATTTGAAGGAAAATTTTCAAAATTTCTTTAAAAAAATTAAAATCAGACAATGTGATACCACTTTACTATTCAGCCCTTTAGTTAATGGGGATGTGTCTCTATCAGCTGACTCAGACTCAATTAAACTGGATGGAGTCTCTATGAACATCAATTTTCAAGTCTTGACACAGATTCACTGTTTAACTTTGGTCTCAACTTGGACTTTATACAAACACTTGCTTGATCTAAACCATTTCATTCAATCTCTTAGTGTGTGTTTAACCCTGTTGTCCTGTGGGAATCTCTACATAGTATTAAATCTTCTGCAGCCTCTGACAGGATCTCCTCACGGATTGCTCCTGATTTAGATAATTCTGTTGGTTTTCCTCCACATGTAGGATTTTATTTTTTACATATGCCTAGCCTATAGTTTCAGGTGGATATCCATGTCTTAGTAACCAATTAACACCAGACAGTTCTTGGCCTCTGCAGGAATAATTTAGCTGCATCAGAGTGCATGAGTCTAAATACACATGCATCACAATTATGAACTGCTTTGAGTTGGCGTATCACTTGAACGTCCACTAAAATACGTTGATGTGGTTTCAAAGCTGAGCTTATAATGTGACAAAATGTGGAAAAGTTCACGGTTTTTACAAGCCACAGCACACAGCGTCTACATTCACTGTTTCCACCTCAAAGCATTTCACACAAATAAGCACTTATTCTCAGACAAAAAAAAATCTTTAAAGTCTGTGCCAACAAAGAAGGACGCAGAGAAGCAGGACAAACAGCTTCTGGTAAATGCTAAAATGAAAGGAGAAGTTTGAAACTTAATTGGATTTTAGACCAAAACTGTAGTGGAAAAGTGGTGTTTGTCAGGGACAATGTCACACATACAGCAACTACAGAATATATTGGTGAAAATATTCCTAAAACAAAACCTTCTTTTCTTTTCATGCTACGCTCGAGTGCTGCGCAACAAACAAAATAAAATCAAAGTTCTACTCTTTCTTTGTTTACAAGATTAAAAGATGGAGTTCTTGCTTCTGACAACACCTGATCCTTTTTTTTTTTTTTTTAGAGATTACAAGAAAAGGAAGAGCAGGTGTTTTTACAAAGACAATGCCAGAAAATAAGAAAGAAACCTCCTCCAAGTGAAGAAACATTTTATCAGGTGGGTGGCATGAGAAAATGAAAAAGAGTTGAATTCATAAACTAGAAATTGCAAAGACATTGGGGGATTATCACAGAACCATCAAACATTTTGTTTCAAATAGTCAATGAGGCACAAATGACAAAGATTTGAGAAAAACCAGATGTAACGACACCAGGAACCCAGTCTCTTCCCAGGCTGTTAACTTTCAGAAATGAAACCTTCCCATAAGTTTCCAGAAATACAAGATGTTCATGTTCAGAGATACCATCAAGGTAAGGAGGGGTTGAATTAGACACATAAGATGAAATATTAAGACTTTGCCAAAAATAGGGGAGTTAGATTCTAATGGGTTGATGAGAGAGATTGTTGTCAGAAATGGAGCTTAGGCGAAAATTCAACCTGGGAGACTCGATGCAGCTGACATTCATCTCGCAATCGCCACGTCCTACCTCAACCATTCAGGGCTGGAGCAACTCTCCGCTTCGAGCCTATCATCATCCGGGACCGTCTTCAAAAGCCAAGCCATCAGAGGTCAACCTGCTCGTCGCTGCGCACAACCCACCTCCTCCCCTCTTCTCCACCTCCGTTCTGATGGATGTTTCCAGGATCCTTCTGCACCCAGCACCACCACCGGTTTTCGGCCCCGGGGAAGACTGTCCGAGCTCGGCCGAGCTGATGTCCTGCCCGCGGTGATCCGCGACTCACAGTCTTCAGCCGGGGCCGAGCGCCAAAGATTCTGTATCATTAAATCTCTAACTGCTATTCTCTTCTCTGTGTGAGTCTCTCCAGATTGAATTTTGTATCAATTTATAGTTTTTGGGAATTATTCAGTTTTTCACCAACTTCTTATCTATTTTTTTAAAAAATAAATAACCCAGATTAATCTGGGGTTAGGGAAAAAAAATCTATTTTTCATGAAAAGGAAAAACTAATTAGATTAGACAAATTGAAGCTGGGGTATTTTACCTTTAAGTTGGCTGCCTGGAAAAACTGATCTGGGGTCAGGGTAGGTAGCTCCTGATGAACTCGGCATCGGAAAATCAGCACTCAGTAAGAAAAGAAACAGCAAGAAAGTTAGAAAAGCTTTCATTTTATTCAGAGAGATTAAATATGAGAACTTCACGTTTTTCCTTTCCTTTTTTCAAAGGGCAAGAGGCGATGCTTGAGGTGATGGATGCTGATGATCCACTGACCTCTAAAGGGTGCAGTTGATATAAAAAGTACACAATGTTGGTTTTGTTTTAGACTTCAGCATGTTCTATTCAACACACCAAGTTTTAGAATATATCAGTGACTCCCTGTTTAAAGATTAAAGTGTCTTTAATTTTCTATTGGTTAGAAAAGCATTGACTAAGAAGAAGAGAGAAAGAAATGTTAAATTGTTTCCGTCAAGGCTAGATTTTAAAGCAGGGAGCAGTCTTCATAGATAATGCATCAGGAAAGGAAATCCATCAGGAGCACAGCCATTTAAAGCGCGATGGAGATATTCATGCATGAACATGGGCATGGCCTCCCTCTTCCAGAACCTGCAGCCAGCTTGGTGTTATACTGTTCCACTTGCCAGCTCTGGTTCCCATGGACACTTTTTCTCTGCATCATTTCTGCAGAGTTTAAAAAGTTACTAAGCATTCACAAGCTTTATTTTAAATAATATTACATTTAACATGCTTGGTTCTGGTCATCTTCGTTTGTCCTTGCTCTGCACCCATTACGATTCAGCTGATTCAAGATAAAAAATAAAAAATAAAACAAAGCCCAATGTGAATACATGACCAAATGGGATTCCCCTGCAAAAGAAAAAGATGGCATTTATCTCTCTTTGTTGTGCTTCTGACCTTTGAAAATATCACATATTAAATCTTTAATTATTTATGAAAGCGAGTAGCAGTGATGAGAGATGGGAGGAGGATCCTGCCACGTGTGATGGGGCATTCTGCCTTTAAGAGAACAACACATTCTGCCTGTAGCAATGAAATCAAACGAGAATCTTTGTTTGGTGCCAAAAGAGCCTCTTTCAGATCTTTGTAGCTTTTTACTACTCCTGCAGTAAACAATTCTGACACATTCATTTTAACATAATCAAACCATCATTACCCAAAAGTATAATAAACAACAGAGAAAACAACCACAGAGAGAAAAAAAGAGATTTTCTCTGGAGAACTGTTTAACTCGTGTTTGATATGGAAATTTTCTTTTTCATCCTCGCACCAGTAAATGTCAGGAAGGGACATGAGAGAAGAGCTGGACATCTCAATTAAAGAGTGCTAACATGCAGCAATGCAAACAACCATGGGAATGAAAGCATTTAGATTAATCTACAGCATCTGGGATAATAAATGAGAGTTGCAAACTGATATTGCTGTTCTCCCAAGAGTGCCTGGAAGTTGCAGTCAGGAACTGAAAGTCATATCTGCTTATTGAAATTTCAATTCATGAAGGTGAGTTTTAGTATTTGGAAACTGGTCAAAGTCTGTAGTGATTCTGACGCAAAGATTTTTCTCCAAAAGACTAATGAATGTGTAATTTCACCTCTTAGAGTTTTGTTCGAAAGCAGTTAAATAATTTGTCTGCAATTTTATGGAAATATCTTCAATGGTATTTAATGCTTTCTTTGGCAAAGGTTGACTAAATTCTGCAGATGCACTTAATGTTGGCTCTTATTTACTCCTTGTATTCTGTTTTCCAAACATTTAGAGCAACTTTTTATTAATATAGACGCATAATATCCAGATCTAATTTCCTAATGGCTTTCAATGTCTGAATCTTTTAACAAAGGCCTTTTATTCATCACTGTGCTGACAAGGTAGAGATCTGCCAGCTTTCAGATTCAGCTGATTTTTATTTAAGGCTTGCTCAGGAGATAAGCTAAAAATTGGTTCATATTATGTGTCCCACAAAAAACACATAAAAGCAACACAAATATAAAAAGGCAGTCATTTATCATAATATTTTAAAAAGAAATCTGGCATTGTGCGAGATTGCTTTCATCTAAACTTAACATATTCTTATATAAGACTGGGCTATATTTTTATTTGTTTTTTTCAGAGGCTTCTGCCATCTTTCAAAATCATATAAGAAGAGCTAAACCTGCAGTTGAACACATTCTCTATTTTTGGCTGTGTGCTAAAAAGACAAAATGCTGGAATTGAATTAAAAAGATTACCTTAAAGGTGTGCAGACAAATATCAGGCTATTACTGCTTTTTTTTATTTTTTTTATTTTTCCCCTAACAGATTTTGGTTGTTTTTCAAATAACTGCATTCCATTGGCTGTTAAAGTGAAAGTGAGACGCCCCCTCGGCAGTTGCTAATGGATTCGAAGTTGGAACACAGAGTCTCATGGTAGGCAGGTCCTTTTCTTTTCAAAATACGTAAGAAAAACAAAAAGAAACAAGGAGCACAAAATGATGAAGAAGCCAAATGTCCTGAAGTTGCTTACAATATGGTATCCATAAAGAAAAAAAATTATCAAACAGAATTGTAAAAAATAGATGCCAACTTCAAGAAAGATCTGCCAAAGAACACAGCTCATGGTTTTTGTTTTATCAAGGAACCCACAGACAGGAAAAGAAGGAACAAGATCAGAAAAGCTAAAACCTCAAAAATGTAAACAGCAGAGAATAAATCTTGAAAGTAAATGTGAATCAAAACCGAATGGGAAAATAAAAGGAATTACAATAAACTGAAACAGAAACCAAAGCCATAATGTAGTTCACAGTACTACATATGTGTTTCTGATTTATCTTTCCATTCACCACTTTTTACAATATAGCTTCACCAGAAAGTTGTGACAATTTTCTTTCTGCATTTTGTACACATTGTACATAATTAAACATTCATTTAGCTTTTATATAATATTGCAGCTAAAATGTACAAGAACATCTCTGTAAATTGGAATATCATCAGAAAGACAATTTATTTCAGTAATTTTAGTTGAAATTACACACAGACAACTACATTCTAAGCATTTATTTTGCACATTTTGATGAATATATGTGTGGATTGTAAGATTTTTAGATCTTAGTGATGTTTATTGAACTGGGAAGACATGCAGCAAGTGGTCTAAAACAAGAAATCAAACAACTACGCTGAGCCTCTGCGCATGGTGTGCTTTTCCTAAGTGAGGCACCCTATGATTATAATTCAAAAGTAATGAAAACCCCAAATTAATTATTTTATTTATTTAAATAAGAATTTTAACAAATACTTTTTTAAAATTAGACTTTTAATGCAGAAATATCATGTCATGGTCCTGTCATATGACTTGACACCTAACAAAACTGTCAAAAGTACAGAGTACAGATAGGCCTACCTGGTTTAATGGCTATGGTTTTACAATACTTGACTAGCTAACACATTTGTTTTAGCTAACCTCCAGTGTAGAAGCTAAGAATTATGGTCAAGTGGGTGCAACTTACTTGTGTTTTAAGGTTGATCACAGACCTCACAAAGACAAAATAACCATCTCTGGGGGCTACATTAACAGCCCCGCTGAGGATGACCTAATTAAATGACATGGGAGGGAGTGAAATGTTTGGGGTATGCACCACAGCATGAGAGGTCACACCACAGCTGTCACCTCAAGTTTACCTTTCTTGATGAGACAGTCCACATGTTGACAAAGCTGTTGTAGGTCTATTAAAAAACATTAGCAAAGATTTTTGGGGTGCTTTTGCATATTTGATGATCATTACAGAACGGTAATACATCTACAATGAATATATATTAAATATTGATTCATCAAGCTGCTTTGTATACTGTAAAAAGATACCAAACTGCTGAAGTTTACCACACTTTTGTATGACATGGCCACCATATCTGTTCAGACAGAACTCAAACGAAGGCTTATTATAATCCTCAGCATATTCTTTGGTGTCACATTCCAATGCAAGATGTAGCAGATTAAAAGAATTATTCTGAATTAAAAAAAGAAGACTGCATTTAAGGCTTTGGTTGACCCAGTTTCCAGGCGTGCATCCTGCAGCTTAGAAAACTCTGGAGGCTTCTAAATGTAGAATTGTTGATTCACCAACCAGAGTGCGCCTTTGTGAGTATCTGTGTTTATTGTGTGCCTAGTATATGCATGCAAATTCTACCATTGTGTAGAATTTTTTTATTTTTTTTGCATGAACTTTTACATCAAGCTCTTTTCACTTGTATTTGTGTTTTATTCAACGTCAGATCTCATAGAAACATTGACCTAGATATAATCAACCACATCAAATCTGTAGAAAAATAAGACATGTATTTAAAGGTACCTGGCACTCATCAACCTGCTCTGCATGTTGTCACACAGCTGCTACTCGTGTTAAATTTAACCTCCTAATAGAGGTGAATGTCATTGCCCCTGCATGACAGTGTAAACTGCAACAATGCAGAGACATGTAGAAGACAGGTGATAGAATAGCGACTTGTGTAATACCATTCTTTTGGATGACAGGCTTCTCAGATGAAGTATACAAGTTCCAGAGAAACAAGGTTTCTGTTAAAGCAAAGATTAGTGTTTCAGTTTGAAAAGCAGCAATGCAAAAAGAAAAGACCCTGAACACCATTTCATGACAGAAAGACATGAAAAATGTTTTTAACTTTTAAAATTCTTCCCTACCTTGCAAGATCATGATGGTCTGTGTATTTACATCATGGAAAACTATATATATTTCAGCTTTCAGTTTCTTATCAGATCTCAAAATCCTTTTGGTTTTCAGAGTCTTCCTATCAAGAAAATTGAGAAATTAACTCTAAGGTGTGGTAAAGAATAAATATTAGAGAAGGCCGGGGGTCTTATATTTTGTGGAAAAGGAAATCACTCAGTTCAAACAACTAATTAAACTTACTCTACATCGCATTCTTTGTTCTCCAATAGCAAGATTGAGATTTGGATTGAAGCCAAAGACGTTCAATTTGAAGCAGTGTTGTAGGACTCGAGACCGGTCTTAGTCTCAAGACCATTTTTTAATGGTCTCGGTCTTGAGTGCATTTGATCTCGGTCTTGTCTCGGTCTCGGGCGCTGTGGACTTGGGATTTTATTTCAAGACCAGTCAAGGCCGCAGCTGTGAAAATATCACTAAACTTACTGCATACTGTCCAGTTTTTTGTTAACATGTTTGTTTTTACTGGATGCAAAACGCACCAATTAAAATCCAACCAATAACACGACTTACCAATTCTGTTACTCCCCTCAAAGCGGCAGCAATAATGTCTGCCAAAATGGCAGACATTACATTCAAGGAAAATAAAAGTTGGTGTTCTCATGACTATGTACATTATTTACCACCGAATTACTCTTACTTAAGTGGCAACTATGATAAAGTTCATCACCCTGTCAGATTAGTCACCTAACTGTGCTGTACCATAAACAGCACAGTTTTGACAGAGACGAGTTAAAATCTCTTGACCAGGCTAACTAAACATCACTAACTTGTCACTGGACTAGTATTCAAACATCTGACACTGAAATCTCAGAACTCTTTCTGACCTGATTACATTTCAAACATGACTCCAACAGTTGCAATTTGTAATTTTTTACATGGCTGGAAGTGATGAGTTCAAGATTATAAGAAAATGGGCTTTTTGTGAACTAGATGCGGATGGGCAATGGTTGGTCTGGGAATTTATTATAGATTAATCAAAATGTTATATTGTTAGACAACACATCAAATATAGTTATCATTATTACTTTATCCAAGTCTAGATTCTCCTGTGTCTCTGAAATCTTCTCCTCAGTAATTGTGGGAGCTTAGTTTGCATTACATCTAAACAGTTAGGATCCTAAACAGTTAGGATCCTAAACAGTTAGGATCATCTGATGTATTTCACTGTCTCTATTAGTTGCCATTAACTTTCAGACTGTGGAAAAACTGAAACTTTAAGCACTGAATTGCTTAACATTACAGTTTCTTTTTCAGATGCTTCAGTAGTATGGTTTCTACTGTGTCATAATAAGGTTTGAGTGGTGCTATATGGTGCAACGATGTGATTCAGTTTATTAAGATGTATTCTGAGAGCAGGTGGTACCTTAATAAGCAGTAGGCCACACACCCTGAAGGCTTGGGTAAGATACAGGGAGAGAATTTCTGAGACTGTCGGGCTCTGAAATAATCCAATCCTGTCAGGCTTGTTGTGCTTTTCATGGCTTTGATTTTGTGGTTCTGTTTTTCTGTTACTTTAACTTTCAGCTCTTCTTTCTTACTCTGCAACCAATTTGTCAGAGATCTGCCATGTTTGTCCTATACAGTATAAATAGGCTGTTCCAGTTATTCTCTGTCAGATTCTCATTGCATTTGTCTTCTTTCTGTACTTTCTGCCTGTTAGCCCAGTTTTGTGCCCAGTTCTTGATAAGAGTTCAGTTGTCATCTTCCTTTTTGCTGGTTCCTTTGACTTTGTCTGTTGTTGAAATAAACATGTTTGGGCTTTTGGTGTCTGCTTTTTGTTTCCAAGTCATCCTCTTCAGTATTATTTATGACAGAGAGATTTAAGTTTTGGTAAAGACTCAAATAGTGACTCTTTAACCATTTCAAATTACTGGAATATTTTTCCTTTGTCAGTTTTATTCCTCAAGCACTCTTAGTCCTACTTTAACCTAAAAAAACAATGTCTGTTACTACATAAAAAAATTATCCACAGTACAATCAAATTTAAAAACATGGAAACTTGACAAACTCTCGCTCTAGTATTTATAGCCACAACTTTCACTGTGTTCAGGTGAGAAAATGTATGAACTGGACAAGTGTTAAGGTTCTCCTATGCTTCATCCAGAGTGTCAAGATCATTTCTGATTAACATAGTTGCATGACAAAAATTGGGTCATCCTGTTCGCAGGGAGGTGTCTAATCACCTTCTCGACACCAGGCCTGAGTCAAACTACTTCCCACGTAGTTCTGTGCTAAAGTATGGTGTGACTTCAACTACAACTAATGTGTTTACACTATCCAGTGTTGCTTCTGGAGGGTAACATGAATATTTTAAAAAGTATTCATGTCAACCCCAGTGAGAAATTACTTACTTGTCTATAATTTTTTACAATGATGGTCAAATAGCTAAAAACGTAGGGGCATAAATTATACTGCAGCTGAATACAAATGCTTGTAAACAATTAAAACATTTTTGTTTCCTTTCACAATTACACCATGTTGCAAATTATGCAAATGATATGTTCTCAGATTTTCTTAAATGGTTGGTCATTGCAAATGATGGTTTTCAAGTCATGAACTATTATAATATA